GAGGCTGAAGTTTTCTTCATATGTTTATTTGCCATTTATATATTTTCTTTTGCACACTGCCTGTTCATGTCTTTTGCTCACTGGTGTATTTCTCTTTATCCTAATGATCTCTAAAAGGTTATTATAAGGTTATTAGTATAAGGTTATTAAACCTTTTCAAATGCATTTACTTTTTAAAATATTTATTTATTTATTTGGCTGCGCCAGGTCTTAGTTGCTGCACGCAGGATCTTCGTTGCAGCATGTGGGATCTTTTAGTTGCAGCATGCGAACTCTTAGTTGCAGCATGTGGGATCTTTTAGTTGCAGCATGCGAACTCTTAGTTGCAGCATGTGGGATCTAGTTCCCTGACCGGGGATTGAACACGGGCCTCCTGCATTGGGAGCGTGGAGTCTTAGCCACTGGACCACCGGAGAAGTCCCTACATTTACCTTTTTATTGTGGATAATTTCAAACACATGAAAAGGCAGACAATAATTTGATGAACTCCTACACATAATGAACTTCCATAACTATCAACTCATGCCCACTCTTGTTTCATCTATACCACTATCCACTTCCCCTTTCACAAATTATTCTGAAGCAAATTCAGAAAACATATCATTTATAAAAATATTTCAGCATGTATCTCTAAAATTATAATGGCTCTGGAACCAAGCAGGACCCTGTGAGGCTCCCAGGTATAAATCCTTTCCATGTCCCCTGTTTCTTGTTTGTAGGAAATGGGCTTCATTTAACCTCCTAAGACCTTCCCTGAGTTCCAAAAGGCAGATTCAAACAACTGCTAATCAGAGAAGGGTGGGAATGCAGAACAAAGGAGGAGCAACCAAGAAACAATAGTGCAGCAACTAGAGCTGGGTCCTGGCTCCTCCTCAAGGATTATAGCTAACAGGGTCTTTGAATTCTGCTACAGAACTAATGCCCTGTCTAGGCGGAGGATGGTAAGTTCAGGCTGAGCACAATCCTGGAACACCACTCTAGTTACCTCACCACCAACAAATCAGAAGAAAGTCACACCCCCTGCAGCCACCACCCCAAATTTTGCCTGTAAAACTCCCCCAAAACTGTTAGGGGAAACTCTGACTGAAACTGCCTACCCTGGCCAGGCACCACAGTAGCCATTTGCATGAGTTATTTTGACAGGAGGTCCTGGTAAGGAACACGGAACTAATAAGCTACCACCAACCAGAAGAATTCGGGAAAGGTCAAAAGGTCCATATGTCCTACCAGTCTCCCAGAATCCTCCTCACTGGAGTCCATCTTGGCTGAGCCGTGTGTGCGCCACCAGGAAGGACCCTGAGTCAGAATGATTGGCCAGAGACAACCCGGAAACTAATCCCATCACCATAAAACCCGAGACTGCGAGCCACATGGCAGAGCAGTACTCCTGGGTTCCCTTACCCTCCTGCTTTCCACTGGGCTGCCCCTTCCCAATAAAATCTCTTGCTTTGTCAGCACACGTGTCTCCTCAGACAATTCATTTCCGAGCGTTAGACAAGAGCCCACTCCCGGGCCCTGGAAGGGGTCCCCCTTCCTGCAACAAAACCATTAGGGAGTTCTGGTTTTTTGAGTTCGAGCCACCCATTCTCCTTTTATGTTCTTTGCAATAAACATTTCTCTGCTCCAAACTCCTACGTTAGTCAGGCACACGAACTTGCATTTGGTAACAGCTCTTTTTAAAACTATAATACCACTAAGTCACACACCACATACCATTTTTATCTTTGCAAGTTTCAAACATACATACTTGGAAGATTCATCAAGTTGAGAACATTTTAATGACCAGTTAAAGCAAACAAGAAAGTAGGATTACATGGAAAAAAAAGTTTAAGTCAGCTGCAAAAATAGGTATCTAGCTAACTATACAAAGAACTGCTAGAAGTGAATTGCTAAAGACAGATGTAAAATCAGTAACCAGACTCACCACAAAAAAAGAAATCATCAGAAACATGTGTAAAACAAGCCAGCTAGGAAAACAACATTCCACTTTGTGAATAACAGAAGGGAGAAGAAAAAAAAAAGACTGTGATTATCCTAATGGTGAAATAGCTTCTTCTTGGAGCACAAAGCAAGTGGTCTTTATTTATAGTTGGACACAAAGGAAAAAACTGCTCTTGGTTTTAGCATACCTGTATTAAATGAAAATCAGAGGTGCAAATGACAATAGCTCTTTGACACAAATCATCTGAAAATAAAACTATGAAACTGTAGCAGGGAAGAACAAAAGCTGTCGCCATGTTGGATCTCTTTCTTTTACTTTGACCTTTGCTTTCCATTATTTTTGTTCTGTCTATAGCTATAGGCATACATAATGGCCTGCCTCAGGCCTCCCTCTGCCTGAATGTTAAAATAAAGTGCCTTTGTTCAGCCCACAGGGAAACACCCTGACCCTGCCCACTTCTGAATGGCTGCAGAAAAGAAGAAATTAACACACCCCCTCCCCGAGGCTGGCCAAAACCAGGAGATATTTTGCAAGACTTATGGCCTTTTTACTTTACTTCCTCACCTCCTCCCCCTCTCTGTTCTATAAAGGAAGCTAGCATCCAGACCCCATAAGATGGTACATCTGGGACGCTAGTTCACCATCTTCTTGGACGACTGGCTTTCTGAATAAAGTCGCTATTGCTTGCCTCAACACCTCGTCTCCCAATTTATTGGTCTGTCATGCAGCAAGCAGAGCGAGCTTGGCGTCAGTAACAAAACTCTAGTTTTTGTTAGGGAGAAACAACCTTTGCGCAACACATGAGTACTTCCTAGGGCTCTGTTTTCTATTCCCAATCCATACCCTGTCTCTTAGACATTTTTTTCCTTCAGCATTATCTTATAACTATATTCTGCACTTCATCATATGTTTATATATGTGTATTTAATGGAGATATGAATGAATACTCACTCTTTAAGTTTCTTAACATAGGTCTCTTTTTGGTTTGAATTTGTAGAGAGACCAAAGAGCCCAATTTTAATATTTTCACAAGTTCCTCATAAGTAAAGAGCTCATTCATCATTTCATGAATGAGATATTTTAATCATTTAAATGCAAATGTGAAAAAGACTTGATATCCAAAACGGAGAATATATGTTATTCATACAAAGTGTTTAATGAATGAATCTGGGCTTAACATAAAAGACCCTGTTTTTAAAAATCCAATTAATTGCAAATTTATAGAGAAGACAACAAAAACAATTTTTGAGTACAGATTTCCAAGTATATAGAAGACATGGTTTAAAATGTTTGAACATTACCATTTTTTTCTACTTTACTTTCAAAAAATTAACTGATACTGAAAATATATATACAATTATTTAATAGTCCTTTTGCCTGTTTAGATAACTTCGATGTTCTAGGGTTGGTCAAAGTTGGAGGTGCAAAGTTGGAGATCTTGGAGTTAATCCATTCTTTCTTTTAATCATGAAGTGAAAATTTGGGGACACCAAGATAGAGACTAATCAAAGAATTTCACAGTCTCTTTATTTCCTATTTAATATAGGTTCGAACACTATCAGATGAACTGTTTTACCTTCCCTGCCTCAAGGTGGAAATATTCAATAGTCTAAGTGGTCCTGAACTCCTGCTCTGGGGCTGCTCAACCAGTAGATGGGAAATTTTACGTACAGGCTATAGATGGGATGAGATATTCTGACCCTTTCCATACCCCAGGGATGTATTGAGGATCCATGTTTAGTTAGAATTTTGCCCTTGTTATAGTCTAATTTCAACTCTCTTCTGATTTGGGATACAAGTAAGTGTCCTCTTAATCAAATTTAGGGAGATTTTTAATAAATCAAACCTAAGGGGATCAATTGGGGGATTTATAAACATTAGTCAATATCCTTCAGAGTGAGTATAATCCTCCTTTTATAGTAAAAGGAAATGGTGAACTTGGTCTACCTTAGTGCTAAAGAACATTGCTCTAAATTTTTAATCTCTTCCATTTCTGATGAGAAGAAATAATACATATGGAGGTAGCAGATTTTCAGATCTCATTTGCACAATACCACAAAAATCCCACTTGCCCCTCATTTGTCAATGAGATAGTGAACAATGTATTCTATTAACCCAGTTTCAAAATAAAAATAGAAGCAAAAGCTAGAGTGCATACTAAATTGTAATCTGCCTTTGTACTTAAAATAGTAAACATTTTTCCAAGTCATATTTTCTGTATAACTTTTAACGGCTTGACAGATTCCACATATGGATATTTCATAGATAGATCTAAATATTCTATTCCTGGGCATTTAGGTTGTTTCAAGTATTCAGCTATTATAAATAAAGCTGAAACAAATACTAGTATGTATTTATACACATCTCTGATTATTTTATATTAAATTCTTAGAAATGCAATTACTGAGATGTGTTGCAAATATTTTTTCCCAGTCTTTGGCTTACCTTTTCTTTTTTTTTTTTTTTTTTTTTTGCAGTACGCAGGCCTCTCACTGTTGTGGCCTCTTCCGTTGTGGAGCACAGGCTCCGGACACGCAGGCTCAGCAGCCATGGCTCACGGGCCCAGCCGCTCCGTGGCATGTGGGATCTTCCCGGACCGGGACACGAACCCGTGTCCCCTGCGTCAGCAGGCGGACTCTCAACCACTGCACCACCAGGGAAGCCCTCCTTGTATTTTTTTTTTGAATATTATTTTTTTTATACAGCAGGTTCTTATTAGTTATCTATTTTATACATATTAGTGTATATATGTTAATCCCAATCTCCCAATTCATCCCACCACCACCACCACCCCACCGCTTTTCCCCCTTGGTGTCCATGTTTGTTCTCTACATCTGTGTCTCTATTTCTGCCTTGCAAGCTGCTTCATCTGTACCATTTTTCTAGATTCCACTAGGTATTCCTTGTTGTATTATAGATACTAGCTCCTTGTTAGATTTAGACATGAAAATATATTCTCCAATAGTGCCATCTATTATAAATTATGAAATCTTTTTTTCTCAGTACCTTTTTCCAGTGATCTGTTGATGCATAATGAAGCACTCAAAACCTCAGAAGCTTAAAACAAACCATTTTATTTTGCTCATGATATTTTTGGGTCAAAAATTGGGAGGGGCTCCACTGGGCATTTCCCCTGATTTACACAGCAATAGCCAAGGAAGCTGGGGCTGGAAGGTCCATTTCCAAAATGACTTCACTTACACTTCACTTCTTCAGTTTCCTTGGTGCTCCTTGGCTTCTCTACCTGATGTCTCTGTCTCCAGGGCCTATTTTTATGACCTTGGACTTCTCACAACATGGTGGTTTCAGGGTGGATTTCTTATGTAGTGGCTGGCTTCCAAGAGGCAGGAAACAGAAGTCAGGCAAGGTAAAAGCCACACCTGGAATTGGCACACCATCACTTCTACCGTATTCTCTTGGTTGAAGCACTCAAAGGCCCTGCGTAAATTCAAGAAAGTGGAGAGATGCCACCTTTTGATGACAGAGTAACATCACGTTGTAGAAGAACATGTGAGCTGGGAGATATTGTTGTGGCCAACTTTGGAAAACACCATCTGCCACATTATTGATTTTTTTTTTCTTTTGTGAGTTGTCAAACCATGGCTTAGCCCTTCCATCTTTTCCTACTGATTTATAAAAACTTTTTATATTACATATCTCAAAACTTTTCATTTATAAAAATTATGTTTTTTCCAAGTTTTCCTCCTCAGGTAGAAGAATGTAAGACAGTTTCATTTACTTCACTGTTTCCTTCTAAAAGTCTTTTGTTAGGATGAAAAAATTACTGAAATCTATATATCTCAAAAAATTAATGATATATGTTATAGGATCTTCTGAAAGAATAAACCATTTCACAGATATCTTTAAATTAATCCCATTATATTAAAAATTCAGGAACTTCCCTGGTGGTCCAGTGGTTAAGACTCTGTGCTTCCAGTGCAGGGGGCGTGGGTTCAATCCCTGGTCGGGGAACTAGGATCCCACATGCCGCGTGGTGCGCCCAAAAAAAAAAAAAATTTTAATTGTATAATAAAATTAGAACAAATGGCACAAAAAGTTTAAAATCACTGATGTCTTCATTTTAACTTTCTAATACAATGGGCCTTTTCTTTCCCCTCATAAACTGTACATACTCTACACCTTTGTTTAACACTAAAATAAAAAAGTTGTCCACTCTTTTAATACAACTTCATTGACAATATGGTCCTCACCCCCTCAAAAACACTTCTTTAAAAACAATTTAAAATCCAGAAACATGTATTTATTTCAGAGTTTAAAAAGCAAACTACAAAAGCAGTTTACAAATAATTTTTTTTTGGTTAGTAAATACACACAGAACTGCTTTCTTCTATTATGTGAATTCAAGGACTTCTAATATTGTCTCAATAAAACTTTTCACAAATATTTATTTCATGAGCATGTCAGGCAAGAAATAATATTGTCTTCAAGCAAGACTTGTCTGAAAATGACAAGTCATGCGTCTATTCATTAACTAAAGACTGTTAATAACAGAAAAGCAAACTAAAGCTGTATGTCCTGGAGTTTTTGCATGCCAAATTCTGGCACTTTGTGCTCAGCTTTAAGGTAGTTATTAACTCATGTTTCCCCAGCACATAGAAATATAATATGCATAGTATTTTAATTATAAAACTATAATATGACAAGTATCCTTTATTAAAATAATGTCCTTATTACAAATATTTCAGATAAAAATGGTTTTCAAAGTTGAAGCAAATTAATTTGGAAAAACAAATTCCGAACTAAACAAAAATGTTTAGTAAGTTCTAGAAGCACACAGGCACACTGAAGGAGAAAGTCAAACAAAAAGAAAAACAAGGAAGGCAGAGGACACAGCAAAATGACCTCTTAAGGTCTTCTGAAGCTTTCAGATATAGCTAGAATCCTTTAAGTGGCAGGATATATGCTTGTGACCTTGTTTTCTTTCAAATGGAAATGAATTAATGTCTTTTAATTTAGACACAGTATTTTGAAGTAACTGTTGGTTTGCTGTGTCTTGCCCATAAAAATCATATGAGTAATACTCTGACTTCAAAAAGTAAGGCCCAGCAGAGCAGAGATAATGTATTCTGTCCTAGAAATATATGTAGGAAGAATCAGAAAATAAAATTGCCAGGCACGTAAAAATTTTAAATACCTTTCCTCTTTCTCCCAGGAAGGTGGAGGTGAGGGGTGGAGACACACTGTGTGTTCAAGAGTATCGCAATCTAAAAACAAATGTATTAAACAGAAGAAAACAAAATACACATACAAGTGCACAAAGTACAATCAATAATTCTTCCTCTTCAAATAATGTAAATGAAAAATCAGGGCCAAATTCTGAATGGGTGATTTGTTGCTTTGTACATGCAGTTTTGCCACTCACAAATGTTCACAGATGCAGAAACACATTAATAAGAGATACTTACTTTCAGCAAAGGGAAATGTAATAGAAAGGACTCGAGAAAAAGCCTCAAATAGATATTCCTACCCCCACCCCCTCAAGTGTTTCCAAATTTTGGCTACAATCTAAAATAAAAACTTAATTTTTTGTTATCTTCCGAATTCTATTACCACGTACCTTGGAGATATTGCAGGTTCGGTTCCAGGCCACCGTGATAAAGCGAATATCGCAATAAAGCAAGTCATGCAAATTTTTTGGTTTCTCAGTGCATATAAAAGTACTGTTTACACTACACTGTAGTCCATTAAGTGTGCAATAGCATTATGTCTAAAAAATAATGTACAGACCTCAGCTAAAAAATATTTTATTGGGACTTTCCTGGTGGTCCAGTGGTTAAGACACAACACTTCCACTGCAGGGGGTGTAGGTTCGATCCCTGGTCAGGGAACTGAGATCCCACATGCTGCGAGGCAAGGCAAAAAAGAAAAAATTTATTGCCAAAAAATGCTAACCCTCATTTGAGCCTTCAGCAAGTCAGAGCAATAACATCAAAGATCACTGATCACAGATCACCATAAAAAATGTAATAATGAAAAAGTTTGAAATATTATTTGAATTACAAAAAGGTGACACAAAGACACAAAGTAAGCAAATGCTATTAGAAAAATGGTACTGGACTTCCCTGGTGGTGCAGTGGTTAAGAATCCACCTGTCAATGCAGGAGACACGGGTTCAAGCCCTGGTCCAGGAAGATCCCACATGCCACGGAACAACTAAGCCCGTGCATCACAACTACTGAGCCTGCGCTCTACAGCCCGTGCTCTAGAGCCCATGTGCCACAACTACTGAAGCCCACACACCTGGAGCCCGTGCTCCGCAATAAGAGAAGCCACCAAAATGAGAAGCACGTGCACCACAATGAGAAGTAGCCCCCACTCGCCACAACTAGAGAAAGCCCGCTCGCAGCAACGACAACCCAATGCAGCCAAAAATAAATAAACACATTTATTAAAACAAACAAACAAAAACCCGCCAAAGCTGCTAAGTGCAATAAAGTGAAGCACAGTAAAACACAGTATGCCTGTTATCTGGAACTAAGTTTGTATCTCTTTTTTGAATGAACACCAGAACCAAAGGCTTCCACTTATAACACCTAGGTCAAGAAACTTACCCTTTGGCTTATGTCTCATTGAAAGGAGTTTCATCAAAACTATGCAAAGCCTAAGTTTCAAAAAGACAGCTTCTGACATACCTACCCAACACACAACCTGAGGGATCATCTTCTCCAAAAGGCAATGGATTTTGCCATATTTTTTTCTGAACTACTGTTGACTTTACGTATTACAAAACACATTTTACACCAGCAGCAGAACTGAAGTGATGGAGATGGAAAGCAGAGTACAAAATAAAGGCCTCAGGGGCCAAATGTTAGAATTCTTGGGTGTAAAACCTCACCATTTCGTCAAGAGATGTGTCTACTCGTAAATGCCCAGAAGGGTTCTTTGCAAATGCATTGAAGAGTTTATCTCTAAACTTATAAACACCCATCCACTCTCAAAGCACCTTCGTATGAACCATCTGTTCTGCTTAACGCAAGTCAAAGGTAACTTGGCAATTTAAAATTAATGTATCTTCTTTCAAAGCAAATTGTGCTTGTGGTTGGTTTTAAATGATTCTGAATGATTCTACAAATCTACAACTTCTAGCCATCCAGTTTTCCTAAGATACAAGATCAACCCACCAGTTATTCTACTGCATCACCAAACCATAACAAATGTGGACAATACAGATCATTTAAAAGTAAGTTTCTCAATCTTTTTTCAACTGGAAAGTTAGCTAATATTCTGAGACACATTGGGGTCAGGTCAGAGGAAAGGAAAGAACTTTATGTATTACAGAACACATTTTACATCAGCAGCAGAATTGAACTGACGTGACTAGCAAGCCAACAATATCAGTCTACCAATTTATACCCCAAATCACATTCAGCAGAAACACACAAACGCACCCAGCTTTGCTACTTTTTCTACCATTAGTAAACTCTCAAGTACTCAAGTACTAAGCAAACTCAGACGAGGAAAATTATGAAATCCTACTTCATTACAAAACGTCAAACGGCTTTTTAATGATATATGAAAGTGGTCCAATGCAATGACACAGAAACCGGTTTTAGATGCTCCAAAATACCAAGAAAAAAATGGAACATAATTTTTTTTACTCTCTCTATAAATAATTTCTGTAACACGGCCTGCCCCCCAAACTAAAAACTGATAGCTGATTTCCAAAACATCTATTGTACATTATTTCAAATCCCCTACTTCACCAAACTTGAGTGAAAGAACTTTCTAGACACCAGTTCTACTTAGGAGTGGGGGGGGGGAAGCTTTTAAATAACCTTGTCTGAGAAATGGCTTTTCATGGCCAGTTAGGTCTCAAGTTACATAGACAACAACCAGACTATAAGGCAGAATTTATGGACCAACACATGGTGGCAGAAATAGTGAGGTCCAAGTTCTTGCAGTAGGTAAGGCAGGTGCTGACCTGCTTGGCAATCTGGTGTTATCCGGAGATGCTAATACATGAAGTTACATGTCAGTGCACAGTGTCTCCTTTTGCCTCATGTTGAGAAAATACCCAGTAACAAAGATCAAAGTGTCCCAACATGCAGAAGCACCCTGTGAGCCAAGAGTCAGATAACACAGGTAAAAGTAAATCTGATTCCCAAACAGTTCCAAAAGTTCCCAAACAACTTCAGAGCACCAGAGAAGCCAAAGGGGCTTACTCCCTAGAACTAAAGGTAGTACCTGTGATACTGGCATTTGTTTTAAATCCATTTTTGCAGACAGCTTTCTACAGACAGCTGCAAAACACTCTTCTGAGAGCTCCAAAGATTTAAGAACACATCCAAGTTAGCAGAAAAGCATTTCATAAGAAGGAACTGCCTGCCACTGCCTCACAGCATTAGCAAACAAGGGCAAAGTTCACCACATGCAAGAGGAAGGGAATCACACATTCACGACCGACAGGCTTACAACTCATAGTTTCTTAAACCTAAAATAAGAGACAACACCCAAGCTACTGCTGTCCACCCTTTCCAAAATCCCAGCTCTTGCATAAATCCCACCAGACTCAAGAAAACGAGCCCAACCTCACCCCAAACAGGGTCGTGAGCATCACCGACTACATGGAGAGTGGAGCGCTGTAAGAAACGCGGGAGGGGCGCAGGACACACACCACAACAAAACAGAGGCGACTCCAAAACTCTCAGGCGCTAACCACACAGGTATTTCAAAGGCACAAGGCCAGACGGCCAGGGTCCGGCAGGCAGGGGCCCCTCATCAAGCCGGTAGCCGCCAGAGGACCCCCCCCCCCCCCCCGGCCAATCTAACGAGAGCAGGCCCTCGAATTAACCCGTCAGGCCGCTCTCCCACCTCCCAAGCACACAACTAACAGGCTCTTGATAACCTGGGGGCTGTTGGGGGCCCTCTAACGGTACAGAGAGCCCCCCAAGCCGTCCGGAATGGCAGGATCCCTCAACTCCTGCCTTGGCGGCGGCCATCATAACAAGAAAACAGACTTTTACGACAACTCCCACAATGCCCGCGGCCTACAACTCCCAGAGTGCGCCGGGCGGCGCCGCGGTTAACCCTATCGTGGCGCCGGGGCTGGCGAGCCCTTCTCTCCCCCTCCCAACTCCCAATTGTTGCACTTACTTTCACCCTCACAGTCCGAAACTAACTTTGGAAATTTTGTCAAGCAGCTACAGTTATGCTATCTCGGTGCCTTCTTTCATCATACAAACAACCTCAGCTGCCCAGAAAATTATCCCTGACAGAGAACTTTTTGTTATTTCCAGAGCTGTCCTCACAGTGCCAAATGTTTATCATTTACGGGGACATTTAACTTCAATTAATCTTCCCCTTCGCGCTTATAATTTTCTGGCATTTTTATGAATTATTATAGCCTAGAGCTTTTGGTACTCAACTTTATTAATTTAAAATCTGTTTTCTAAGTTCTGGGAATCAAGAGAGAAAGACTATCCTGTAACTGACCACAATGTTCTACATCTCTCCATTTTATAAGACGAATTTCCTCAAATATTTGACTAAGAAATTCATGCAACTCTAAATAAGTCCTAATAAGACAAATTAGTTATGGGCAATATATCTTTTAAATTTCAAGTTAAATTTTTCTTAAGGGAAAACCTCATGTGCCAACATACTTTGCTTTCCCTTTTCTCTTCTATTGACAATCAGATATAGCATAAACTGCTGCTTTATTCCTTTCTGACTAAAATATCAGCAAACAACAGGTAAAGAAACATTTTAATATAATCTGAAAAATAAACGAAGACTTCATTCTTTCAGAAAACTGCACAGCACATCTTTTTCTCACGAAAGAACTCCTTTAAAGTCTTTTGCATTTTAATTAAAAGTAAGGTTTAAAATACATTTCTTTTAAATATATGGCCCGTAATTTCAGTAAAGATGACAATCACATTTAGAGATCACTGTATCACCAATATAAATTAAGTGTCTAAGCTGTACTTACACAAACTAAATTACTCAGACGTGTAACTGACTGACAGATAAAATAATTGTTTGGTATTTGACGCATGCACTAAAACAACAACTAGAATTCTCCTAAAGTATCTGCTCTTTTTCTTATACCCAAATATAAAATAAGATGTACACAATGTCTGATTTTTCCATTGGAGCATTTTGTCATTTGAAAGGGCACTCAAAATGTATCCTGAATTTCAAAGCACAAAACTCAGAAATCTTAATACACAAACAAAAACCCAAAGCCTTCTTGGAAAGATACATCATCAGCAAAACTCTATTCTACAATATTCTATTTTAAAAGTATCTTTTAATATTACATTTAGCTTATTAGTAAATGTTTTGATCTAGTAAACTACAATGAGAAAATATTTCTCCATCATTTATTTTTTTCACTCATGTTACAGTACGTAGTTTCATTAACAGTTAAGATAAATGCTACATACCAAGACATAAAAAATTATACATACATATATGTTTTGAATTTTAGTTCATTATACTATTTTAGCTTCTGTATTTTTCTAATTTTCACTTAACACTTCAGTTAGAATTTAGGTAGAAGAAGTTGCATTGTTTTCCCCCTATTTTTTAATAGCTGCCAGACCATAAGAATTTAATGCATATTTTATATATTATTCTCCTGATGTTAAAATATATGATTCATAAGAAAGGCTAAGATACAAGTCAGAAATGAAACTTATCTCCTCGTATATGTATTACATGCTTACAACTCTCTTCTCAGTGCTATGAGATTATATTTTCCATTAGGAGGTTAGTCATTTTTTTCTTTGCTTTGCTTTTATCTTTCAAATTATAAGATTTAAAAATTGGTATATTAAAGGGCTATATTTAAAGATTAAAATAGAAGTAATTTTATTTCTTTTTAGGTTACCATAATTCTTCTTTTAAAAATAACTTAAAAGTTTAGTATACCCTAGTTAAGTAATTTAAGTAAGTCTTAACCTATATACTTAATATTAACGTGAGTTTCTTTATAATATAACAAATGTATTCTAGAAATGAATTTTTCAAATTCATACCAAAAATTTAGTATTTTTCTCCCAAAGTTTTAGATTCTGTTTTATCACATGAATTTTTACGTGTATTTCTTAAAAACCTAAACCTCTAAACTATGATTTTTAAAAAATATTCACATGTAACGGTATTAACGTATTTAAAATTAGGGTAAATCTTGTTTATTCTTGAGAATATATGTTAATAGAAGTCAAACACTGCAATCTATTTCTTTTTCCAAATGTGCTACTGGTGACAAAGCTAGAATGTACAGATTTGCAGATCTTACAACAGATTCTATATATAATTTCAGTAACTACTTCTTTTATCCTTTTAACTTCATAAAATACTTCAATGCATCTCTAAATGTTTGTTTAGATGTTTTAATTGCAGTTTTAGTTTATTTGCTTTAAAACATCTGATTTTCATATACATAATTTATAGTGTTCATACAAGTAAACTGCACTAATAGAATTACTGCCAAAAACAGAATGAGTTGCTAATATTCTTTTTTGCTCAAAAAGTTAGTCTGTCTTTTCTTTTCCGACATTACCAGTATGACACAAGCAAAAACTGAAAAGAGGTCACACACAAAGGACAGGTTCTTGCCTGATTAAACTAATTGGTTATATTTACGTTATAACCCTACAAAGCAATATTGTGAGTCTATCCCAGAGTCTAAGCTTCTCTCTCAAATCTTAATTAACTTTAATTCATTGGCCTGCTTTTAAAGCAGTGACCGGTCTTTCAAATTTATCAAAATAGTCTACTTTTTTTTTATAGTCTACTTTTTTTATTACCGTACACGTTTACATTTATGTTTAGGAATATTCTAGTTGTCTGAAAAATCTCTAGTTTCTGATTTTGCTAAATATAATTTTAATTTTATGCCTTAAATACTTAGAAAAGCTGGATGATGGGAATCCTATTATCATGTCAGCCTATGAGGAAGTGCAAAAAAATTTTTGCATTCATTTTTTTCCAACCAATTGATCTTTTTAAATCAAAATTTTCCTACTAATTTGTTTTATTTAATTAAAAAAATCTTGCTTTCTTTCCTCTTCATAATGTTTGACATCAGTTAGGATAAGCAAAGCCTAAGTACATGTTACTTCTTTTCCCTAATCGAAATGCTCTCTTTTCAACAGATGGATAAACAATGGAAAACGTTTCCTTACCTAAAGATGAAATGTTTCACTTTCAAAAAGAATCTTCAAGGTTTGTCTGGAGATAAGACTTTTTACATTTTCCTGTGGAAATGAAAAAGATACAGGTTAATGATTATGTTCACTTCTATTCTGTAAAAAATCATAATAGGATGAGGGATATTTGAATCTTTTTAGTCTTAATTTTAGAGAGCAAGGCCTAAATAGAATTTAATGAAATCAATGCTGTCAATTAAAAAATCATCTTGTTTTACAGTTTAAATTTTATTACAGAACCACCACAAGGTAGTAGTTTCTTATACTTCCTTGTTCTGCATTTTATTCTGCCATTGATTTTTCTTGTTTTTATGCATACGGCTCAATAGTTTTAATACTCTTTCAATATATTGAAGTCATTAGCTATATCTGTTTTTTAAGATGTTTTCTAATACATAATAATGCCTCCTTTATATATAGTTTCTATAGTCTAAATTTCAAATAAATATGTGAAAGAAAAAAATCCAAACTCTAAACTTTCTTTCAAAAGGCTTTTTCTAACTTCAACTCAATTTCCCCCAAAAGAGATGTGTAAAACACTACCTACTCTAAGGCACAAATACTAATACTCTAAGACAGAGTAGGATTTAGGCTGAATTTTTAAAAACAATTATCCTGCTCCTCCCTCTTCCTCTTTGTGCTCATAATTTTTTCTCCACTTTAATTCAGGATTACATTCATTAACTCACATCATGCCTTCTCTCCAAAGAAAAATCACCTTCGGCTTGGAAAACTTTCAGATCCCTTACATTTTCCCTTAATTTCATATAAGGATATACTATTTCACACTGAGTATTAATGAGTGTTAATTATGCTGTTTCTCCCCGAATTTCTTTTCCTAGACCTGTTTCTAATTCTTCCCTCTATATGATTCTACCATACCCCACTTAGCTTTTTTTTTAACACCACCAAGATTTGTCTGACATTTCTTTCCCCAACATTTTAGGGCATATTCCAATTTTCTTTTTGGGTTTTGATGCATGTATCACAGTCTGGCTAATGGTACCTCTCCATACTCCAAACATAAATAATTTCACTCCCTACTAGAGACTTGTGGGCTTTCATTCAACAGACCCTAGAAATTTCCTGTTCTTCGCCAGGACATCCATTTGGGATTCACATATGGATGAATAAAGTTGGAGAGTGAAGGTGAATTAGATCCACAAGAAAGAATGCCAACCACAGATACCATTATTCACATCACCGAAAGTATCCTGCTCAAACTACCTTGACGCTTTAGAGTTTTAAAAATTCACACGCACAAGCACTAAAAAATTCCTTTCCTCCTGTTACCCTATACTATCTTCAATTTCCTAAGCCATTTTTTCAAAGTATGTAAACTTTGTGGTATAATATGCACGCGCAAAGCAAAGGTTTCTTTTGCGGGTAGGAAAGTTGGCCACTCACAGACCCAACCAGTTTCTAGGTCAGAAGCAACGTGACCTCCGGGGTCTCTACCCAGACTAAAAGCTTGAGTTCTGCCTCTCATTTTGCCTGTCATATGCTCCCGAGGGAATGAAGATAAGCATATAACTACCTCGTGCCTCAGTTTCTTCATCTCTAACTTCATTCCCTGACTCAGTACAACAAGCAGACGCTGAAGTGGGAGTAGCCAGGGAAGGCAGAATCAAAAGGCCAAAAGAAGAGAGACTTAAACTAACCTGGCATCTATTCCTCAGCTCCACCCATTTTCCTGAAGCCTCCCAGCAATGGCGGTGGGCTGTGGCATTGGGTGAGGTTGACGGGAACAAAGTGGACAGTCTCCAATATCTCCAAACCCTACAACAGTGCAGGCAATGAGGGTCAGAAATAACAGCAGTGTTTTTCTTTTTCTAATAAAAAAAAAAAAGAAAAGAAAAAGCCAGGCTAAAAGCCTCTTTCTAAAATATTGACATGGTAGGTAAATGCTTTTTATAAAGAAGAATACACAAGTGGGTTCAGAGCCATAAAAATCTTATCTTTCCTTCAGCCTCAGTGCTATTGGCTTCTTTTTCTCCATGTAAACAGACAAACTAGTCCTCATTCAGTAACCCAACGCTCTCGTAACTGGGGAGCAAGCACAGTGGGGAGCCTTTAAACCCCTCAGAGAAACTCCCTCCAACCCAACCCTGGCTCAGTGAATTGTGAAGGGAACTCAGCAAAGCGTTATTAGTGTTTGGGAGGATTCTGCCCCTCCCCGTTCAGAACTCCACGCCAAATTAATCTGACTCATTAGATCCTATTGAGACACTCCATTACATAAAGGAAAGCACTAAGCTTAAACTTAGTTAAAAGTGATTTTTTTAAAAAGTCAAGATATATTCATCCTAAACGGTAACAGATTAACATTAACTGCTTACCAGCTGCAAACGGGGTTGATTCTTCATTTGCTGCAACCATAAACGCTGCCAAACTCTCCCCCAAACTTCCTTTTCCTTTTAGAAACCAAGTTCCTAGAAATAATCTTTAAAAAAAGAATTTTCTTTACCATGGGCTTTTAAACATTAACCGCAAATCCAATCTAACACTGTTTAGCATAAAATTAGAGTTCTCCCTCTGTCTCTGTCTCTGTCTCTCTCCCTCCCTCCCTCCTTCTCTCCCTCCCTCTTTTAATTAATTTGGGAAAATTCACTGACTTCTTTATCTGCTACCTGGGTATCATTTTAAAACTGAAGAAACTTCCCCTCTCTTTTCCTTCATCCTTATTTGAAATCCCTCTTTAAACATACCACAAATTTCCCTGGCTTCACTGTACTGCAATCTTGGCTGAATTTCTTCAAATTCTACTCTCATAGAAATGTAAAATGAGGGGGTTGTACAGGACAATCTCCAAGGTCCCATTTAGCTCTAACATTCTATATGTGTCTATGATGATCCAGAGAAACTGGACCAACTCCATATAAGCACCCGAATTTGGACCTCATTTCTATGTGTGTTACTGCTGTCACTATGTTTCTATAAACTTTTTGCTAAATTACAATATAACACAATTTTTCTGCCTTTCTAGGCTACCAGTCCCCTCTTCAGTTTGCTTCTTCAAACTAATTATTTTCTTTCTCTAAGAAACCACCTGTATCTCTAATAATTAATGTTAACTCTATCCTTCCCATCAAGACTATCACTGTCACCAGCAGCCCTTTTCTGACCTAATTGAGAAACTCTTAATAACAGTGACACATTCTTCTAAGTAAAACAATAGTGTTTACTTACCCTACTGTCATCATAGCCATCCTCCTCATCATTTATAACATTCATGACAGCTTCCTAGATGGCAAACGACTATTCTAAGCACCGCACATTTAATCCTAACAACCTTCTAATGCAGATTCTATTATCGTCCCCATATTACAGATGAAGAAATTGAGGCAAACAAAGGTTAGGTCATTTGTCCAAGATGTATTCCTGATGAGTGAAGGATCCAAGTTTGAAAACCATACATTTTGGGGACAGAGCTTGCACCCTTAACTGCTACGATGCCCTGCCTTTCTGCTTAAATGATTTCCATGGGCCCGCCCACCTCTAAAATCCTCTGATTACCCAGCACTTGATTACCTCAGAATATCTAATTTCTTAATTGATGAATTAGGCATAACCAGAATATCTACTTTATAATTGTGAGAATTAAAGAAATTTAATGTAAAGCACTCAAAACAGTGCCTGGCACAGAGTAGATAGCTTGAAAAGACATCAGCAATTATTTAATGGCTGAGCTCTCAATTTGCAAATGAACACACTGAGGTCAGAAGTTAGTGGAAAAATCTAGGACTGGAACCCAGGAGTAATGCGCCCACTTCTTTTTAAAAATACCATTTACTAATGCAAGGCTAACTTCAGAGACACACTTAAATTTTAAGACTTTAAAATATCCCATGTCTTGTGTTTCTTAGTTCAGGGCTTTAGCTATTGAGCCGCACAGCTCTTGCTAAAAGGCAAATTCCAGGGGAACAAGGAGTCTGGATTTGCCTCTCTTCACCTCCTGGTGCACAGCTGGGCTTTGCTAACCTGTAAGTCAGCAGTGTCTGTTTTTGGAAGAGCAAGCTTACCAGAGGCTTCCTGTTTATTAAAAATGACCACCATGTTCAGAATAGGTTTAAAGTCTTTTCAAATAGTGATATTGATTTGGTGAAATGTATTTCTCACCAGAGGCCCCATACTTGAAAATGAGCCCATTTTATAGGTACTAACTGAAAAAAAAAAAAAAAAGTATTCTAAAGGAAAGATCTCCTTCCCTGTATAAACAAAACTGGCGTTTGCAAGGGTTATGCAGGTAATATTTATATTTTTAAATCAATGTGAAGTATCAAATATGATAACAGTAGATTCAGGCATGCATTTGCGTACAGCAACGAATCAAAGGGTTTGACATCAGCACAGCTGAAGCTGAGCTCTGCACTCTAGAATTTTACGTGGAAACAATCCCTTCACTATTGTAGGTATATTTTCTTTTTGTGTCCTCATGGCAATAAATAAACACACACACACATTTTGTGAGAAACAAATGCTATACTAACATACCAAAAAAGTATTACATTACTTGGTTAGAACACAGCTACTGCGGTAATTACTATTCAAAAGATAAAAGAAGCATTTTTAAGAAGCACATAAATCTGGTAATTCTAAAGATGATTGAAATAAAATATCTCAGTATAATTTATAATTTCATAATTTATATCATGAGCATCAGATTTGCAGTTATCTTATACGGTGATACTGGCTACCCTGATTTCCTCTCAAGTTCTTATCCAAGAATCCAAGTTCCTCAAACCCTTTTATTTCTGTGACCTTCTTCAAGCAACATTCCACCTTGCCCTGAGGTCAGAACCCCAAACTTTTCATCTATTAGCTCAGGTAAATAAAAAGGAACACGTCTTCATTTTTTAATGTCTACTGAGCTTTTCTTGTAGTTTCAATTCTAGAATTTTAAATGCATTTAAAAAACATTAAATAGTATTTTTGCACAGGATTTTCATTTTATACTGGTTTGTGTTACTAACCATACTCTTAAAAACTAAAGCCTCACCTCAGAAGATTAAATTTGCCCTTAGTCCAGAGGAATTTTAAGTCCATGCTCCCCTCTTGAACATGCACACAAAATATTATCTCAAGAAGATTTTATTTTATTAATATGCGTGGTATTTTTAAACATTAAAATATTGGATCCCAAGGGGGTTTTATTTGTTCAGGGTTTTTTTGTTTTTTAACTATTTATGATGGAGAATTTCAAAGAAAAGTAGAAGGAATATAATAAACATCGTGCATACATCATTTCTATTTAAATGTTAATAGTTATTAACATTTAGTCATATTTGCTTCATCTCTCTCTCTTTTTTTCTTTGCTGAGATACGCTAAAGGAAATTATAGACATCATGGCATTTCACTTCCAAATTCTTCACTGTGCTCGTCTGAAGAGTAAGGACATTTTCCTACGTAACCAGAATGCCATTATCACTCCTACAAAATTAACAGTAATTCCCTATTACACAGGCCATATTCTAATTTCTCCACTTGGAATCTAATTTTCTTGATATCTTTTAAGTCTCTGTTCTGTCATCAGTGACGGTACACACATGTTCTTAAATAAAAGCCACCTCTAAAGTGGCTAATTCCAACAAGTTCTGCTGAGGAAGCAACACCCACCTTGAACAGCTCCAAGTCTGTTATCTGACAGATCATCAGGCATCATCTAATCTTGCCCTTTTGCCTGTTGGGGATGTCACGTTAAATCAAACACTGATGAGAACTGGATAAAAGATCCTGTGGTATTTCAAATAGATATCTCCCCTCAATAATCAGTGTGCATTGGGGAGCAATAAACCCTAAATACAGTCACATAGTTTAAAATGGGGTTGTTTTGCCTCACTCAGTACAGGTCTATACAGCTCAATCCGCACGAGATGCTAAGGTGGTAATTTTCGATAGAGTCAAATTCATTGAAACTCAGAGGAAAAAATTCATTTTTCCTTCAATCATTTATTTAACTCAGTGAAAGTAAAATTATCATAATTCATGAAGGTGATGGAATAACTGGATTATTTGGATTTCTAGGAGTGAGGAATAAAGAGGCTTTTTGAGGGGTTTGGGGAGGAGACTAGAAATCAACCTGACATAAATTTTGTTATGCTTTGTCATACAGACCAGGGCAAAAGATCTCTCTTGTCCTTTTGTAGGGAATAATCAGAATAAAGAAAATAGGTAACCTAAGATTATCTTTTCTTTTCAATTCCATCTGCAAGCTATTTGTTTTTCTAGAAATGATCATCTATCTATATCTAAATCTATATCTATATATCTATATATGTCTTTCAAAAACTGATGCAAACAAAGGAAGATGGTTAGTTAAGGGTTTTGCAAGCTCGGACACTTGAAGGATATTCTTCCATGCTATTTAGGGTGAGAGCATTGCTTGGAACAGCTAAACAGCATCCTTTTTTTTTTTTTTGGGCCACCCCACACAGCTTGTGGGATCTTAGCTCCCTGACCAGGGATTGAACCCCAGGGAATTCCCAACAGCATCCTTTCTCAAGCTTTACCTTTTGAATCTTCCCCTTCTCCCTGAAGCCACAAAGCCACCTTAAAAATGTGTGCTGTCATTATTTAAAATATATATATATATATATATTTTTTTACCTATGAATGAACTAGTTAAGGAAATACAAATTTTAGTTTGTTCACTGAGGTAAAACTGGGTGGGGAAAAGATACTTCCCCTTTCCTTTGTAACCAAAGCATACTATATTATGTTTTCTCTCTCTTTTTCTTCTTTTATAATAAGAGAACTATAGCAAAAGTATGAAGTAGAAAATATTTACTGATAGTATCAGAATTGAGTGAGGCATACCCATCAACGCTCAGCCATGTGCCACCCCCTTAAGAACCTCATTCTAAAAGACATGCCAACATGCCCACGTGTGAATTTACAAAAACGTATGTGTGGAAACATTTACATTTGATATGATAATTTAGGTGGAGGAAATCAAAGTGAACTGCTTCCAAAAATGGGAACAAAGGGCAGTATGGTAAACCAGAATCCAAAGACAGTCCTCCATCTTTTCCTTTAGTAATAAAAAGCTTTCCAGCAAAATAAATAAATAACTTAATTGTTGGCTACCTCCCCTTACCACTCTTCAGAATAAAGGCAAGAAAAATGGCAAATACGCAAGAAGTAAAAAAGAGCTGTAAAGGACCTATGGAGATCTAAAAGCTCAGAAATCCATCCCTGACCAGTGACGCTGGCTGCAGAGCCACTCAACGTATATGCGGTTGGACAGACAGGCTGTGCATCCACCCTTGCCCATGTGGTCATCCCTCCGGATGCCTTCCTACCCTCACTCAACAGGGTGTTACAACTTCAAAAGACACACACACACACACACACACACACGTACATGCACACACACACATCAGAAAACTCTAAATGCCTCAAAAGAAAGGTATTTTTTTCCCTGTACAGA